TTGTAATTTGCGAAAATCAGTGCACTTACGTGAGTTTTAAACGGAAATTTTTACCCAAAAAGGTACGAATATGAATTACTTGTACTCTTTTTATAATTTCTAAGCAATGCATGCAGAATCTTCCAGGCACAAAGTAAGGTTAGGTTGCCAATTTTGCACCTTAGTAGTAATTATTTTTTTTGTATTTGAATTAATAAAGTTAGAAATTACCAGTAATTGGGGATGGGTAATATAATGTATACACTATCTAAAAAATACACCCGTTTTTGTGGTCGACTTTCGGCAAAGATAATAATTTCGCAAAAAGAGCTTGTTTAGAGCTAAACTAAGACAAAAAAAAAAGTTAAAGGTGGAAAAGCAAAAGTACATTGGAAATAGCGTGAAATTATGAGAAAATCGTATCATATTTTGATGGAAATTTTAAAGCAAAAAGGTAAGGATATAAATTTATCGTATTTTTAAGTAATTTCTGAGTAATGCTTATTAAGAGTTAAAATAAAAAATGTTTTAGGCGGAAAATGAATTTCAAAAAATATTACAACTTGGACGACCTGAAAGATATCGCTCTCCTTCTACGGGAAATGGAGGTTTACGACGAGATGGCAGTCAACTCCGATCAAAACAATCAGTTCTGAGAAAATACTAAAAATGTCTTGTAATTCTCGTGAAGCACATGTATTCTTATGTATTTTTAGCCGCTGAATCCGAACTCACGATTGGTTTTTGAAATAAGTCAAACCGCATTTAGGTTATCTTAAAAACCAATCGGATTCAGCGGCTCAAAACACATAGGTATCCCGCCAAAAGTACCAAAAATTTTTGTGTGTGGTTATGTATGATCGTATACGATCATACAAAAAAATAAATCATATATGATTTATATTTTATTTAGAAGGATTATATTTTTACTGACTGTGATTTTTATATTAGTCAGAGTTTATTTCTTGTTTTATTTTCATTCTGGTTTTTAATAAAAATTTAATATATAATTATTAGTTTTATTGATCAGCATTTTTTACTTCCTAAGTGTTCGTTGCCCAAGAGGCTTTTTTGAATAAAGAGTATTATTATTATTATTAATCCTCAAAAATCAAAGTACTACCTGGTACCAAGACATCTATTGTTTTTTTATAAATCAGGTACCCATTTTTTTGTTTTTTTTTGTGGAAATGACTTTTGAACCCCATAGGATAATTTTTTGACAACCCAAGTAAATTTTTAGCAAAAAAAATAATTATCGAGATCCCAAGGATTTTTCCCGTTAAAGGTTTAAAGGAATTCTTAGTGAACACACACGTGAAGCTCGAAGTAAATGCACATACGCAGCAGGATTTTCTAACATTCAGGGTTAATGTTATCTTAAATTCGGTTTTCAAATTTATTTTGATAAGGCAGGTATAATTTTTATAAAATTTGAATAAACGTATCGTATCTTTGTATGAACTCAGTGAATTCAGGAATTTTATCTGGGTAGTTCTAAAAAACTTTTATATTTCCCAAAAACTATGTCATATTCTTTTATACATTTTTGGCGAAAAACAATCAGTATTATACTTATCATAATTATAATCAGTAAACATTAAAAAAAAAAATTCCTAAATAAATATAATTAAGGTTTTTGACATTTTTTGACGTCATTATTTTAAAACAAACATTCGTATTAAATTTTGTTTTACTTTGTTTGCTGCAATATAAAGGGTTTTTCAATAGAGGTAATAATATTACCTCTATTATATTTTTATATTATACGAGCCCTAACCACATAATGTTCGGACACTTCATAATTTATACAGAAATTTTTTTCGTGAATACTATCTCAAAATTATTAGAAGTTATGAAAAATTCAGCTTATTTTGGCATATACCCCTCGAAGCGATTTTTATTTTTAAAAAGTTTACCTTTTATTTTTAGCTTTTAAAAAAAGGCTAACTTTTTAACTTTTTTTTGTATGAGTAAAAAAAGTTATAAATGGACCCATTAAAAAGAGCATAAAATATTATACAAACCCTGAAAATTTGGTAAAAAATAAATAAGTTATAAAAAAGTATAAGTAATTTAAAAATGCTATTTTTAAAGAGTTTTTGCAATTTTCTTAGGAAACGGGAGATTTTGCAGATATATATATCGCTATAACTTTCTTATTATTTATACAATTTTTACCAAATTTTCAGGGTTTGTATAATATTTTATGTTCTTTTTAATGGGCCCATTTATAACTTTTTTTACTCATGCAAAAAAAAGTTAAAAAGTTAGCCTTTTTTTAAAAGCTAAAAATAAAAGGTAAACTTTTTAAAAATAAAAATCGCTTCGAGGGGTATATGCCAAAATAAGCTGAATTTTTCATAACTTCTAATAATTTTGAGATAGTATTCACGAAAAAAATTTATGTATAAATTATGAAGTGTCCGAACATTATGTGGTTAGGGCTCGTACCTATTATATTTTTAAATTTTAAAATCTTCTGTCACTGTCAGTTATATTAAGAAAGGTGTGCAATTTCATTTTAGAAAAATACACTTCTCAACAGCGTTTGGACATATTTTATCAATATAATCGTTCTTCCATCGTGCACTTCTTCCAAATTGAATAGGTCAATGCAGAAACTGAATATGTCCACTTTTTAGGGAAATTGAGTTAAACATGGATTTACTATAAGTAAAGGGTGCCCGATCGAATGGCGTAGCAATTTTCATGTCACGGTAATCTACATTATACAAAGGCGTTAATATAGTACAGAAACTGAATATGTATTCAGTTTTTTTTAGTTATCTCAAAACTACCTAGTAGGACATATTCAGTTTCTGCATTGACGTATTCAATTATGGTCATCATAATCGGCCTAGTACGTATGCTCGCTATTCGACGAACTGTGGAAAATTTTGAACGCAATCTTTCTTTACAAAATGTTCGCGTTCCAGTGAGACAAAGATCCGGTCGAAGTGAAGAGAATGTTGCTGCCGTTCCAAGACTTTATCAACAGTTGGGACTGTCTGCCACAACAACATGGCGTATTTTACGGTTCAATTTGGGCTTGCATCCTTACAAAATTGATATGACGCAAGAATGGTCTATGCCAATAAACCAGCAACAATTGAGGCATTAAAATTAAATATTAAACACAAATTCGACAAATACTCGTGGGTCCTAATTTATTAAATAAAGTGATCGAAAATTGGACTCACCGTATTCAGCTCTGTAGGAGAAGCAGAGGCGGCCATTTGAATTATGTCCTTTTTAGAACATAATTGCATAGATTATAATTATATTTTTCTTAAAAGCTGCGGGCTCGTAAGGTAAGGCAGGGCTTCACCAAAAGGGGGTTTGCACAATGGGCCGTATGTGTGCCTAAGTGCTGCCTGCAAAGGCTCCCCTTCAAATCAATCAATCAATAATAATATTATAATTAAACTAAAACTCTAACTTATATCGATATTGTTTTATTTTACAAAGAAAACTCAAATATAATAGTATATTAAAGAACTAATGTCATAAGACGTGATTTTGTCGCACGCGGACGAGTGAGACAAAAGGTCTTATGACATGAGTTCTTTATGCTATTTTATCTATTTTGCAAAAATTCTATAAAAAATACCTTATATTTAATTTGGTCGAATTCTACTTTAGATAGTTGGTATCACATATCATTGATTTGACAGTTAATATTAAAATCGATTCGCCATGCCATCTTTAATTTACTTATATACGAGGTGTGTTCAGAAGTTTTTTAATTTCACGGGTTCGGAGAGTCCAATTGTCATAAAATTTTCTTTATTATGTTGATATACATGCCCCTTGAAGTATGATAAAAACTTTAGCTGTTTTCATAGTTTACTTTGTCTGTGGCAGCCACTAAGGTCAGACTAGTTTTTATGAGCTCGGCGATTTTTGTTCGTTAAAAGAAATGGATCAAAGAGTTTGTATCAAATTTTGCGTAAAAAAAATGAAGTTAAGTGAGTGAAAATGCCTATGGTGAGTCTGATATGAGTAAAACAAGAGTTTACCAGTGGTATAAGCGTTTCCAAGATGGCCGTGAAGACGTTGAAGATGACGAACGCCCGGAACGCCCACGCATAACAACAACCGATAAAAACTTGGAAAAAGTGGAAGAAATGGTTATGAACGATTGCCAAATCACAATCAGAGAAGTCGCTGATGATATTCGCATATCGATTGGCTCATGCCATAAATTTTTTTTGAATGTTTTGGGTATGAATCGCGGAGCTTTTGCACCACGATAATGCACCTGCTCACACTTTATTGCTTATTCGTGAATTTTTGGCCAAAAACAATACTGTAATGATGCCCCAGCTTCCATATTCGCCAGACATGGCTCCTATTCCCAAAAATAAAGAGAACATTAAGGCGCCGTCGTTTTGCAAGCATAAATGACATTAAAAGCGCATCGCTGAAAGAACTAAAGGCTATCCCAAAGATCGAGTTTTAAAAGTGTTTCGAGGATTGGAAGAAGCGCTGGCACAAGTGCATAATAACTAATGGGGACTATTTTGAAGGTGACAACATTAATGTAGACGAATAAATAAATACTTTTTTCAAAAAACGAAAATTCCCGTTATTTTCTGAACAAACCTCGTACATACAGTGTGTCCGTAAAGTCCCGGAACATAAGATTATTTTAAAAACAGTAAATTTATTTTAAAAACGCTGAAACACGTAAACTTTGTTATTTTTCTAGCATGTAGTTGTTTCAAATTCTACCGCGTGGCGGCACCACAATCAAAGTCAGTTTTTTTAAATTGCAACCCTTTATTTTTGTTGCATTTTTGGATAGCTACCGTTGTCCTGATTACATTGATGTGCCACATCTGGAGGGTTACAAAAGAAAATTTTCCCGTACGGGAATCTATAAATGGCAGTACCTACGATTTTCGTATTGTTTATCTTCTACGGGAAGAAGGAAGGAAGGAAGGCAATCTATAAATCAGGCTTTAGTTTAGAGGTAAACTTTGCATTGTTATTTTTAATAAAATGCCCCTGGTTTTTGGATTTTTCCTTTATTAATGTCAAGAAAAAGATGCATTCGTATGTAACTGCCTGATCACTGTTAACCGTAACCACAGAAAAACATAGAATGAAGATGATATTCTCTTGTTTATAATATTTATATTGTTTTATATTGTATTGTACACTATTTATTTTATTGTCAATAAATTGTTTATGTAAATACTGTCATCAAAGTCATCATCCTCGACGGAACTGTCGTCTCACAGGTAAATGTTTAGTTTTGGACCTTCTTCCCAAGTGCCCGGTTTCACATTTTCACCACTTTGTTGCCGATACAGCTCTTACCTCTTGGATACAATTTAATGGAAGCAGGGGACCCCCAAGCTCCAGTTCCCTTTAAAAATAATTTACTAAATTAAACACAAATCGCTGCTGTTTCCCATCAAACCGATTTTCGGGCATTATAATAAGAATCGTACGTTTTTTTTTTTGCTAAAGCCCGTTTCATATAGATGCGAAATGCGAATTGGGAAATGCGAAAAATGCTCCCATTGGTGCATTTGATTTGGCGGGAAAAGCGTTTCGACGTTTCGACAGATTCTACGAATCTAGGGGGCGGGAATCTTGAGATTGATCCAATATTTTGCGAAAAACGCAATAATTATTAATGATGCGCATGCGTTTCGAATGCACATTAATGCGATTGCTTATCATACCTACGCCATTTATGTTTATTTCTTTTGTATCGTAGTGTTTCTTTTGTTGAGTTTTATTCGAACTGTTTAAATATGTAAGTGTTTTTTGAGGTACATTAGTGTTTCTTATTTTACCTTTATAGTCACTGTAACTAACTACTATTTTAGTACCTAAAATAGCATGGTAAATATTGCCTAGTGAGAAAACAATGTCCCTAAAATAGTTCGCATCTATATGAAATAGGAGTTGCGAATATTCGTATTTCGCAATTCGCATTTCTCATATACAGGGTGAGTCATTTGACTTGAAACTTTGAAATATCTCATTTAGTATGCATTTTACGAAAAAATGTTTAAAATAAAAATTAAATGATTTGAGGGGGGAAATCATACTCTCCTCATAGGAGTCCTCATAGTCCACACTATTTTTTATTGCAGATTCGGATCATTCGACTAGAAATAGGTGGATTGTGTCTAAAAAAAATTTTCATATCTGTAATAGATGGCGCTGTAATGAAAAAAAATCAATTTTGTTCGATATTCTTCTTATACGCCTCTGAGCAAGTCACAACAACCTGTTATAACATATAAATATATTTTTTTAGAATATAAACCTATTTTTTTATAAATAAAACGTACAATTAGTAAAAGTAGAAATTAAGGTTAGAACCGTCTGACAGATTTAAAATTTTATGATTGGATACGAGGCGTGAGAAAGTTTTAAATTTAAAATTCAAATCATAGGGAATAATGAAATCGGCCAACCACTGATGCCTAACAACTTTTACTAGATTTACTGTCATTTTTATTGATTATATTAAAATTTAAAAAAAAAAAAGTTTTTCAGATCGTGTGGTGTTGATACAACTTACATAAAATAATGCAAACATGTAATATACATACATATGTTGACCGAATTTGACCGGTCAAATATCTAGCGGTCAATTGACTATAGAAAGGATAATAAATAGACAATGCAGTGCTCTAATTGGTTTAATGATTTTTATATAAAGATAATTTCCTGTAGAAAGTAAAAAAACAGTTTTTCAGATCGTGTGGTGTTGATAAAGCTTAAATAAAATAATGCAAACGGTCAAATATCTAGCAGTCAATTGACTAATTGACTTATAAAAAGGATAATAAATAGAGAATGCAGTGATCTGATTGATTTAATGCTTTTTATATAAAGATAATTTCCTGTAGAAAGTAAAATCGACAATTTTAAAAAACAGGTATGTAAAATTATATACTTAAAAAAATAAAAAAATTTAATAAAATAATCAAAATTTCTTAAACGTTTCGAAGTAATTTTTGAGGTTGAGCCATAGTTTTATTTTGTAACTTTTTCTGTGTATGGTTTCTTATATTAATATTAAAATATTACACATTAGTGAAATATTTACAACATTTATTGGCAAATCTAGCAAATCAAAATATCGGAGTAGTAACTAATTTGTGTAACTAAATTTTGTTGTATTATTTAATTATTTTACTCAATCCAAGATTAAATCCAGGATACACCCAAACTGAAGGGTTTTTGTTTTTTCGTCATTTAAAATTTTTTTAAAACTGCATCCAACAACTTCCTTTTATAATATTTATATATTTTTTTTGATAAGGGGCAACCTTCCAATGAAAATAAATTGTATCTGGGTGGCAGAAGTAAGAAAGAGTTATGCTGCTTAACAGCTGTAAAGCGGTTGGTGGTGCGGGAGGTCGAGGGGGCCGAAGTGAGGTCAGACATCTTGCGCGGAGGAATGTTCGGTGCCTCGGGCGTTAAGCTAAATTCCTGGCCCCCTCGTCGAGCCCCTGCCAGTTTGGTTCATTCATTCACAATATTAGACCTCCTACCAGGATACCTACGTGATAGTAAACGCGCGGTGTTGCCGATAACTTGTTTACTGTTTCCTATTTTTTTAACCAAAACAAGTTTTTTACTACCATTTGTCTGTTGAATGCATTTAAAAAAATGGCCATTACATTTCATTACAGTTTAGGTTGGATTATGTTGGGTAGTCAGCTCATAATTTTATGACAAATATTTTTTAAGACATGTGTACAAACCAGAAGCCAAAACTATATACATTGATTATCTTTCACTCCTTGAGGGGTGCCTTGAGCCCTGCACACATCTAATTTACAAATTATTTTTTACAACAATTTGTAGTCATCTACAAAAACATAAACCAGTTCAATAATTCTGCCGTGTTGAAAAGTATTAAAGTAATAAACAACAAACGATAACATGTATTGTATTGTTAAAAACAATATAAAATTAAGTTTGTTCAAAGGACATATACTTACCACACATACTGTATGTGACATACACCGCCTATTCCCTATATTTTGAATAGATGACCTTGTTCCCGTTTTTAAGGGGAGGCTGGCGCACGTGCAGTTCAAAAGTGGAAGATTAAAAAATCAATAATGTTTGTTGGTTATGAATAAATAAAAATGTCAGTTTAGGAATAACCATAGAAATAGAAATAATACTATTATAAAACTATAATATTATTTCTATGGGAATAACGTTATGTGTGGTAAGTACGTATATGCCAAAGGAGCATGTCAGCGACATCTAGATGTTAATGAGTAAACCTTACAGGGTATAGTAAAGTAACCTTTATTGCGAATTTAGAAAAACAAACCAAATAGGTTTCTTTAAATATTTAATCTTTAAGAAATATATTATGATACAATGTAGAAATTTAAAAAAAATAAATACATTCATAAATATTAATATATGTGTATACGCTTAACTTATTGGCATTCAAATATAAACACATGTTATTGAATATAGATGATAAGATAAAAATATTTTAAAATTTAGGTCTACAAAATGGCATATAATTATTATAATATAATTATATTTATGTAGGCGATTTAGATGTAAAATGTTATTACCGAGTGTGGTAACCTTATTAATCACCAATTATGTTAAATTGTATGATTAGAGGTGTCCCTCTATAAACTGTATGTTTCTTGGGATGAAAATAAAGTATTTTATATTTATATTTATTTATTTAAATTAACCAACTCAATACAATTCAATAATCTAAAATACTGTTACTCAGGCGGCTGAAAAAATACAAAATTTTAAATAATTTACGATAATAACTTTATTATATGGTATAATATTATTATAATTGCAAATACACCAGTCAATATATAAATAAAATAAAAATTCATATTCCCAACATTTAAAGGTCAATTTCTCTCCCCATATTTTCCATAATTAAAAAAGTGTTGGGGCCCCCATAAAGAACGTCACACATTTTTTGGGGATTTTAGAACCCCCCTCCCCCTGTCACATTTAAAAAAAACAATGTAGGTACTGTACCCACCTCACATGTTCTAGTATTTTTGAAAATTATGAGTAGGTCACTAACGCTTTGACCGCTTATTTAAAAGTTTTTAAGTTGATACACACCTGTTTAGTGTACCTACACTAGACTGGGTAAAAAAAACTATTTTTTTTTTAAAGTATATCGAAAATATGGTTTGGAGTGACAAAAAAAATTATTGTGAAAGTTTGAGTCCATAATATTAATATTAACAGGTCTATCATCGCAATTTAAAATTTTTTTTTCCTCAGCAAGTTTTTGCCTCTCAAACCATTGAGTTTAACAAAATTGACTCAGAAATATTTTTTAAGAAATTAAATGCTCTACAAAAAAGGTTAAATGAAATTTTCCGTCAGATGAACCGTTTCCTTAAAATAATGCCTTAAAAATTGGTATAGTTTTACATTTTGATCTTTTAACATTGGAATTTTGTAATTCATGTAAAATTCAGTACCCATAAAAAAACCGATAAATATTCTTATGGGAAATCAAATGCTTTACAAAAAAAGCCTCTTAACATTTTTGTCTAAATTCACTCAATCAAAAGTTATTCAAGGTTAAAGTTTAAGTCAAAACGAAACTCTTGTTTTTTCATCTGTAGATTTTTTTTTATGGATGATAATTTGATTTTTTCTGTATAAATGTGTATTATATAACTAATTAACAATTTTCAATAAAAAAACAACATGATTGTTATTATTTAAACGATTAAATAGGTAACAGTGAAAATAATATTTTCAAAAGAAAAGTTTTTTTTAATTTTCAGTAATTTTATAAATAACATAACGATTATCATCGATAAAAGAATCCAAGTTTTTAACTGACCCAAAAAAAAATCTAGAGCGGAAAAAACAAGAATATCGTTTTGACTTGATTTAGCCAAAAATGTTAGAAGACTTTTTTTGTTGAGCATTTGATTTCCTATAAGAATACCTATCGGTCTTTTTCCGGGTACTGATTTTTAGTTAAAAGATCAAATTGTAAAACTATACCAATTTTTAAGGCATGATTGTAAGAAAACGGTTCATCTGACGGGAAATTCCAATTTAACCTTTTTTGTAGAGCATTCAATTTTCTTCAAAAAATATTCCAAGTCAATTTGCCACAATTTTAAAGTTGATTTTCTCGCGAACCGTCAAACCGAATTTGGTAGTTTTTGTTTTAAATTGTAGGTTTATTCTTTGGTTACTCTGTTCTATTTAAAAAATTTAATTTTAAAGGCCAGCTAAAATTAATAAAGGAAACTGCTATTCTGTAAGCACTTATTTTAGAGGTCCCTTAAAAAAATAATTTTAAAGGAATCCTTTAAAACTTAAAGCCAAACATTTGGTAACACCGCATTTAAAGTGATTTGA